GCATGTTACTAACTCCACTTCTTCCCCGGAGTTCTTGTGCTTTCTCGTCTCGCAGGTTCTCATGGATCCTGGTGGAGCCTCCTGCCATGGTCCTGCTTGACTGCCATTGCCAATACTGTTGTTGCTGTGCACCTGTCTGTCTGTCTGTCTGTCTCTCGCTCTCTCTCTCTCTGCCTCTCTCTCTCTCTCTCTCTCTCTCTCTCTCTCTCTCACCCCAACTGGTCGAGACAGACGACCACCCACCTAGAGCCGGAGGATCTGTCCTAGGTTTCTGCCTTTTAACAGGCAGTTTTTCCTTGCCCTTGTCGCCAAGTGCTTGCTCATGGTGGTACTGTTGGGTCTCTGTAATTAATGTTAAAGAGTTTGGTCTAGACCTGCTCTATTTGAAAAGTGTCCTGAGATAACTTCTGTTATGAATTGGCGCTATACAAATAAAATTGAATTGAATTGAATTGAATATAAGTATAATGAGTAAAGTATTTAATAGCAGAACTAAATCATTTAAAGACAAAAACAATTTCTCAATTTCTCACTTATCTACCATTTTGTGCCAGCATATACTTTTATGAGAAATATCACTCAAAGCCACTTGTTCAATTTAACAACAGGATTGTATCAGATTGTACTTTAAGTGGGGCTTTTACACTTAAGAGGAAGAATAATGACACTTATTTGGCTTGATCTGAATAAATACTGGGCATGTTGAAATGGTATGTGAAACAAATGTGAGCTATTAGGTATTTATAAAAGTAGGTGTAGTAGAGAAATAGTTTCCACTTTAGATTCTTGAAATGAAGAATTTGTAGTCTTTGAGTTTTTTTAATAATAATAAAATATCACACACCAACTTGACCATCACATTATTTGGACACATCACTCTTAATGACTGGTTCTAAGTGGTTGCTAAATAGACACACACTTGTATTTAAGGTCGAAGACAACCTTCTCCCTGTCTTCTCGCAGCAGATTGAGCAAATTTTTTTTCACCAGACAAACACTTAAATACAATTCTAGTCTTGAAGGCACTAAGCTGTTACTTTTGATTAACTGTTAAACATCATCAGAACATATCTCAAAACGAAATAAAACACCGCTAATGTGTGTGCAGAACTGCACACTGGAAACTGGAAAACAGAGTGGTGCAGTTTTTCTGACTCAGGTTTCCAGTAATATTCATTGGATACGAGTTAACTGTCTTACTACTGTTGAAAATCACATTGCTTGGATTATTGCCAAAATAATGCAAACTCCAAAGGTTTGTCTACTGCTGTTAAACTCTTGTTCTGGTTCAGCACTAAAGTTACATGGGATTTACAAACAAGATCCACTCAGTGCTACCATATTCTTTGGTGCAGTAATGAAGAGGTTTGTGTCTTGAGGACAAGTAACTAAAGCACCTGTAAAATCAGACTTATAATGAACAAAATGTGGCAAAATGGAAAAAGCCAAAAGATACTCAAAAAGTATTATTTTGCATTGTAATCTTGTTTGACTGTACTGTTTTTCAATGATTCATTCTTATTGGTTTACCACAAGCAGATAACAACCTCCCCTTAATACCCCTTAATGAACCCGACCCCAGCGGGGGCCGATCCCTTTATACCCACCAAAAGATCTTCAGATAATACGTCAGTATTGTTACAGTGACACAAGAACTTACAATCATTTAGGGTAAAGAACATTGTGCTTTGTAAAAGATAAACAATAAATGACTGAACATCAGCTCACCTGAAAGAAAGAAGACACTCAGCAAAATGTTGGCTGTCAGTGGACAGTGGGAATGAATACGACTCTCTGGGTTAAATAAGGGATAAAATGAGTAAGTAATTCTGTTTTACCAAAGAAGCCCACATCAAGCAACAATTAGATCCTTTCGTTGGTTGTTTTGAAGTGAAAATGGTTCCATTTCATGAATTTGAGCTGAAGGGCAACAATCCAGTTCAACAAACCAACTTCTCTGTTTCATTGTGATTTAACATCAAGTCGACTTCCTCCTGTACGCTTAAAAACCACACAGTCCAGTTGTTTTTTATATTGGACAAATACAGGAGGTTCTCTCCTTTACTGCTAATATTCACATTACTTCCTGCAAATCTATAAGCTGTATAATCCTTATATGTTACATAAATCACAATGATTATAATTATATTTCAGTCAGCCAACTCACTTTTGATATGTTTATTACAGCAGTATAGCATATTTAGATTTTGGCGTCTAGGCTCCAACTGGGGGTTAAGGTATTTGCTCATCACTCCCCAATATCTCTATGTAAACATATCTGCAGATGAGCAAATACCTTAACCCCCAGTCGGAGCCTACAGGTGGATGCTGTGGTGGTGGTGGGGCTTACAGCGCAGCAGGCAGCAATAGCTTACAGAGCAGCAGCAACAATACGGATGCAGTGCAACAGCGGCATTGACAGAACAGAGGGAGAGCTGGGAAATTGTGCAGTTTATTTTATTTATTTATTTATTTATTTTATGAATTTATTTTTTATTGGTGAAATTAAGTTACAGCCAAGGTGACGTGAGGGAGAAATACATCACGTGGACTAGAAGTACAGACAGTGGACATACAGTACAGATCACAACAGAAAATAACGTAAAGTTACAATGACATGTATGTAGGTAGTTTAGGTGTGTGTGTGTGTGTGTGTGTGTGTGTGTGTGTGTGTGCGTGCGTGTGGATGAGAGGCAGATGGTATGGTATTATATACACATATAATGTGGCATAGATAGATGATAAAATAAATAAGTAAATAAAGTAAAAAGTATAAATATGAGAAGAGAAGGAAGACGAAACAAAAAGAGAAAAATAAATAAATAAATAAATAATAATAATCTGCAGTACAATATGGTATATATTAACATAGTATAGTGCAATATAATTTAACCTAATATAATGTGGCAAGATAATGTGAGATAAGATAAGATAAGATAATATAGTGTGACGAGATAATGTGAATTATGATAATGTAATACAGGGCAATACTAGACATTATAATATAATATAGCATGGTGTAATATAGCACAATATAATATATAATAACATAATATAAGATCATATGGTATAACAGATATACATATATACACATACATGTAAACATAACCTAATGTAAACCAATATATCATGACAATGACTATCATAAGACTAATTATTAGAATTATAAGAGGTAGGGCCCAACCACTCCGCCCCACCTGCCCCCACCCGAGGCCCCACCATGCCCCAAGAGAACCAGGCATGGAGCCCTCGCTCACCTCCACCCTCAACCAATCCAGTCCAGCCCCACCCATCCACCTTTATTTTATTATAATAACGTCATTATCATGATTATTCTTAGGGAAAATAAATAAATAAACATAAATAAACAAATAAGAAACTATGTTTATGATGATGATATGGTAGATAAATACGATAAGAAACTATATTTGTGATGATGATATGATGAATACAGTTATGATGATGATATGATAAGTAAATAAGATAAGAAACTTGTTATGGTAATAATAACAATAAAAGCAATCATAATCATAATCATAATATTCAGTCATTAGAATATAAATACTAATAATATTAATAAACACAATCACCAAAATGAGCATAATAATAATAATAATTATCACAGTCATAGTAATAATGGAAATAGTGATAATGTAGTAATATTAATAATAGTAATAATAATAAAGGAAGAGCAAAAGAAAAACAGGAAGAGAGAATATTTTAATTACGGGAAATAAGAAATCAAGAGAAAAAGGAAAAAAAGTGCTGTGTTTTAAGGTGTTAGGAATGTGTACGGCACTGGTGCAGGTACAGCCTCATCGAGGAGAGGAATGGGGACCATCTTTCTGTGAAAGCTGTTATTTTGTTGTTATTGTAAGCAGTGGATTTTTCCATAGAGATGTGTTCCAAGAGAAGATTGATCCAGTGATTGATGTTTATTGAGTTTTTTGATTTCCAATTTAGGAGAATTGTTTTCTTAGCGACAGTTAGAGAAATCAGCAAGCTGTTCTTGTATTTGTTTTTTTATGGTGATTACTGAAATGTCTCCTAGTAAGCAGAGCTGTGGGGATGAAGGGATTCTGCAGTCCAGTATGGTGGAGAGGTTTTTTTTTGACAGAGTTCCAAAAAGAGTGAACCGGTTGACAAGCCCAGAGTGCGTGAAAGCAAATGTCTGTGGTTACTAATCCCATTTTCTGCATTTTATATTGTGTGATATGTGTTTGGTGGATGGTTTTGTATTGGATTAACTGAAGGTTTGTATTGGATGTCATGGCAAATATATTTTTATTTATATCTATCCAAAAGTCTGATGAAGGAGAGATGTTCAAATCAGCATTCCAGTGGGCTATTGGGAGTGTTATTGAATCGTCTGAAGCTAATATTAGTCTGTATAATTTGGAGGTTAGTTTATTTAAATTTGTAAATAGAATTATATTGTCAATTATTTCAGAAGGTTCAAGTCGGTTGTCATTTGTGTACATTTTTGATTTGAGTATGGATTTAAGTTGTGAGTAATTTAAAAATTGATGTCTATCGGAGCTGTGTGATACCTTTTTGTGCCCATGTGTGATAGTGAAGAGAATTGTTGTGGAGTTTAAAGTCAGGGTTGTGCCATATTGGCGTATACTTACATGGTGCTGGAGTGGAATTGAAGATCTTGAGGACTTTCCACCAGGCTGTCAGAGTTGTGGAGATTACTGTGTTTTTGAAGCAGGGATGTCATTTGATGGTTGTATTTAAGAAAGGTAGACCTGAGAGTAAGAAGTTTTGGCAATAGTGCTGTTCTAGGTCTGACCATGAGGTATTGTGGTTGGTTTGGTCTATTTAAAATTGTGCAGTTTAAATAGACCGCCAGATTGGAAGGGAGTGCTTGGTTAGTGATTATTGAGCGAGGCATGTCATGTGTGTATATCAGCGCAGTTCAAGTTGACTGCCTGAACTAAAACATTAACTTTATGTGTTGTTGCTCACTTGTGTGCAGTCACTGTGATCACACTGACCTTTATCTTTGCTGTTCTGCATTGCTGCACTGATGAGAGATCAGCGATGAAAATAAATGAAAATGATTATATTTTAAATAAAAACTGTCCTCACTTCCAGCGCCTTTATTTGTATATTACACCGTCATCATTAAATGACATAATGAGTCACTGTATATACTGACACAAATCATAGAATAAGTGATAAACTGCTAATTTCCTGCATTGGAAACAATGAAAAAATACTGTAGTAAACTGGCTGAAAAGTCCTGAAAAAACGTTACCAAACATAAGAGCGTTTCAGTTGTATGTGTGAGAGCTTTTCAGTAGTGTGTGCAAGCAAATAATCTTCCAGTTGTTTATGTGAGAGTGTTTCAGTAGTGTATGTAAGAGCATTTCACATTGTGAGAGGTAATTCTGAATAATGTCCCTGACGGCCCCTCATAGCAGGAAGACACACACAGGGACACACGACCAAACATAATTCAGCATTTCACTGCACGGTGTAGAAAGATGTAATATAAGCTGGAAACTGGAAAAAACCTGAAGCGCTGTGGCCAGAAAGGGTCATGAAACTGTTCTACGAAGACATTTGTCTTAAAATAATAACTTTTTGAATAAAATATTTTAAGTGAGGGATTGTGGGCAGCTTTTTAGAACAAATAAAGTGTTTGCCCATAATGCTTTGAGAATTGGAACAGTGGCCAACAGTGCAGCCTGGTGCTCATATTTTGTGTAACCAGTTATCAACAATTGTCATATCGAACATGAAATCAAATTAAAATAAAATAAATCCATGACGGTGAGAGAAGAATGTTTAACTGGTGTAAAACGTATACACACAAGAAAAGAAGGAGGTATAACCTAATCAAATTACTGGTTAGGTCTGCATTAAAAAAATATATTTTTAGAGAAAAGAAATTACACATTTATAGTTACAATAATGAGATGACACACTGGCTTGATTGGCATAAATTGAGGATAGCTCACTTGTACCACAGTGTTACTGTCTGCAGGGGGCAGAATTAATGTGTCAATCACAGAAGTGCTTCTTGAATTTGAGCCCACACAAAAAAGATACCCCTCTCATTATTTTTTACGTGCTAATATATTGTGGATACACTATTGTTCAAGTTGAAATATGATTATTAGCATTTTTATAAGGTTGATACTTTTTAATTACAGTACAATTACTCATGTTTAAATCCAGGAACAATGTTTTTTTCAGTAATTAAAATACAAACAAATTTGTGAAAAAAACAATATGTAGAAACTGAGATTCATTTTGACATTGCCTCAACAGATTAAAAAAACATTTTAAACTAAAAACTACTGGTAGTGTGTGTGTGTGTGTGTGTGTGTGTGTGTGTGTGTGTGTGTGTGTGTGTGTGTGTGTGTGTGTGTGTGTGTGTGTGTGTGTGTGTGTGTGTGTGTGTGTGTAGAAATGGTTGTGGTGTCTATTTCAAAACAAAACAACTCATTTTATTATCACTTGAGCGTAGATATCCTCTGGACTGTCAGCAGTGTGAGTTAAGCTGTTTGCTGGCTTTGACACTTTGACCTGTGCATACAGTGTTTCCTGCTGCTGTCCACTGTCCTGCACTGAGTCAGAGGACGGTTCAGGTCTCCTCTTGGAGAAGTCGATCTCTCCATAATGGATGTCTTCTTCCTTCTCATCTGTTTTTCTTGCTGACTCTGCAACAGTCAGCTCTTCACCTGTTGGACTCTGCACAAACATGAAATGTTGTTAGTATCTGGATGTGGACTTTCATCTGCCAACAGGATATTTTGTCACACTTCCTGTTTCTTCATATTTTTACTTATAAAGAATATCTCAGTCCTTAATGTTCAGTCCTTTATGCTTTCATATATCTACACGGTCACTGTGAGCAGGTGCAACACATTTATAGTGCAGTGCTGTACAGAGGAGTTTAGTATTTTCCCACCTGATTCAGTTGCTGAGTTGAATCTGTAGACTTCACCCGCCTCCAACGCACAAGAATGCTGTAAAACAAACCATTAAAGAGAAATCTAGATAAGTACATAAACTGAATGTAGAAAGATGTAGACGACTGAGAAGTTGGTACAGAGAAGTAAAAATCATGTAATCATCTGTGCCTTTAACAAGAATGTGAGCGTAGCTGAAATATACAAGTAACTGAGTCACATTAGCTGCTTTTAATTTGTGATACTTACCAAACACAGACAACCAGGCAGATGAGCATGATGATCCCAATAATTCCTCCAAGAACTGGCCCCCACTGTAGAGATCCATTGGGTGGTTCTGTTCATACAAACAAACTAAATATGAGAAACTACTAAAAGAAGACATGTAACTAAAGGGTAATGCAGAAACTTTTCAAAGATCAAAGTAAGGGGACACAGTCCAGTTCAGTATTTACCTTTAATATTAAGACAAATTGATGATGTTTCATTGCCGAGATCATTTGTAGCCACACAGTAATAAACTCCTCCATCTGTCACATTGAAGCTGTAAAACGGTCCTTCAGATACAATCATGGGTCCATCTTTGCTGTTCTTGAACCAGGTGAAGCGGCTGACGGGAGGCTTGGCTCTGCTGGAGCAGGTCAGGTTCACCCAGCTACCTGCTGACACCAAACCTGATGGACTGATGGACACTGAGGTGTCTTTAGGAGCATCTGAGGAAAATGTGAGATTAACTTTATTCATTAAAAATCAGCTGATATCCCATGAATCATCATGTGCTGACAGGATCCAATAACAAACTCTGGTTGTCTTACATGAAACACTGAGAGTCTTTCTCTCCTCTGCTGTCTTGTTATCTTTTCCTTCATTCACAGGATATCTGACAGAACAGGTGATGTTGTATCCATCATGTTGGTCTGACAGAGTGAAGCTCTCCTGGATTTTAGTTGTGAAGGTTCCATCTGTGTTTTCCTCTATTTGGTTGTGAGAGTCTTGTTGGAGATTCCAGGTGAGTTTAGGAGGGGAGTGTGGACAGGGAGTGAAAGCTGAGCAGGTTATAGTGACAGACTGCTTCTCCTTCAGATCACCTGGGATCTCAATTCTGGGGCTCGGAGGAGAATCTGTGGTTGAGAAACAGAGAGAACCAAGAAATATATACATTGTTTTGTTTTTGTGTCAAAACTGCCTATTTTTTGTTTTATTCTAAACAATAACATTATAGACTGACTGAAAGAAACAAAGCTCTCTTACCTTTAACTGTTATTTGAAGAGGATCACAAACAGCTGTTGCTCTGAAAGGCCAGTTCATGATTCTGAAGTAGTATTTGTCCGTATAATTTGTGATTAAACTGGAAAACAGAGTGGTGCAGTTTTTCTGACTCAGGTTTCCAATAATATTTATTGGATACGTGTTAACTGTCTTACTACTGTTGAAAATCACATTGTTTGGAAAACTCCAAATACTTGAGTCAGTTTTAATCCACACTCCAAAGGTTTCTCTGCTGCTGTCATAATCTTTTTCTGGTTCAGAACTAAAGTTACATGGGATTTGCAAACAAGATCCACTCAGTGCTTCCATCTTCTTTGGTGCAGTAATGAAGAGGTTTGACTTCTGAGTACAATCAGCCAAAGCACCTGTAAAATCAGACTCATGATGAACAAAATGTGGAAAAAATCTGCATGAAGAGAAAGTTCATGATAAACAAATCAGCAGTGTGTTGCATGCTGGTCCTTTTCCCCGTCCTGTTAACAATTTCTATATAAAAATTTCACTTTGCAGTCAGGACATGAACAGTTGGAAAAAGTAACTCTATCTGCACTGGTCTTTCTGCTTTGTTTCTAAATGAAGTCCAAACTGTAAATGATTAACGTCTCCAAATAAAAGTGACTGAACAAACAGCTCACCTGAAAGAAAGAAGACACTCAGTAACATGTTGGCTGTCACCATATTCACAGACAGGACTGCAATCACACTCATCACCTGGATTTACAAACACAACAGTGCAGTTTAGTTTTAAATATGTTTTTGGAGATTTTACAAATAATTTGAGTAACTGTAACATTATCCTAAAGTGCACACACTCGCACCAGAAAATTCCACCATAAACCCAGGATTCACAGTGTTATAATCATCATTTAACATCTTCAAAACTGCAGTTTCAAACATAACATTTAAAGTAAATTCTGAATAATACCACACTGGTGGATTTATGCCTTTTCATGTTCAAGTTACTTCTCACTTCTTACATCTTAATTCTTCTAAATAAGACCCCATCAAATAAGATATTTAAAAATAATTTTTCTGTAGAATTTGTGAAGAGTAACAAAATAATCTTGTCTTACCAGACAAACACACAACAGGAAGAGAGCAGCAAGGACATCCTTTGGTGGTGATTATGACTTTAAAGTGGAAATACTTTGAAAATGGTCTGAGGTGCAGCACACCAAATAACCAACTTCCCTTTTTAATCTGTTGTAATTTAAAACCAAGTTGACTTCCCATGTTTCAAAACTACAGAGTCAGTGTCGGACCTGGCATATGCAGCGCCCTAAGCAAGCTTCCCCTGGCAAAAGAAACATTTTTGAATTAAAATATAATTCACAGTTGCGGCATACTTTGAAAAACTCTCATACACTCTTTAAAATACTGAAGTACTTGTCATGTACAAGTATATTCATGACGACCCGGTAATTATTTATTGTACACAACCTCCCTTTGTTGCAGCTTCCTCCCACATTGCCTGGAGATCTATGTTGAAGTATGTTTCAGGCACATGCTTCTTCTTTCATACTTCAATATCAGGTTGCTTCACCCTCCATGTCCAAGCGTGAAGGAGAAACTATGGTGGCTGTGAAACATATAAAAGGTGTGAATGGCCCTAGCTGGAACCAGTGTTTGGTTTGTCTCTTCTGGCCTACTGTGGGAATATGGTGGTTAAACATGGTGGTCTCCATGGAAGACCACCTGCAACATCTGTAGATATAAAAGACTCATTCTAAGGTAACAAAAATGATTCTCATTTTCAGGTGATTATGACAATTCATATTATATTGCATTTCTGGCAACAGATCCTCCTAAATGTTACACACTAGACCTTTAAAGGTTCAGTATGTAGTGAATTTAGTTTAAAACATTCAAAAAAGAACTAAAACTATCAATAGATCATGCAGAAATAACAGTTTTGATGTTATCTCAAAGGCGTCTGGTGTTGAAGAGACATCTACTGAAGTTAGCATGCTAACCAGCTAGGCTTGGCCCGGGTTGTCTCATAATACCACATTGTAGCTCAAAAGGCTATAGTGAATCACTGTAGCATCCAGTACTCCCTCAGTCCAACAACAGCAAGTTGGTTTTCATGCCACACCAACACTCCTCCAGACCTCCCACTGACTGTATGGGACTGAGCTGTATTCTTACAGCAGCTGCAGTTGGTGGTTACTCTGGTGATATGCTGCTCCCTATTTGTTTGGAGTATGAATTCAACAGGTGGTCAATTCTTACATATTACATCTTTAATATAAAAACAACAAAGAAGTGAGTTTGCAGTATTTCAACAAAATTTCTACTTAATTATTAATTATCAAATTCCAGTTGGTTTAGGTTGTAAATGAGCTACATAGCACATGACTTTTAGACAGACAGTCTGCAGAAAAAACACCAATTTCTCAGTTACTGATTGTATCTTGAGACAGGAAGAAGAGGAAGGGGATGTAAACTCAACCAAATTAGTTTGTGCAAATATTTGACTGTTTTATTTGTCATCATCTTATTTATATAGGAAATGTCGCAATTTGTTTGTACGGTACTTATTATTGCTATCAATTTCAGCTTGATATAAAAAACATTTGTCAGAAGTCAAGTGATTGTGCAATGTATTGTGCTGTGTGTGTTGTCTCCTCTATTTGTATTTTATCTATTTATTTGCTATCTCTTCTATTTGTATTTTTCTATTTATTTTATTAGGGACTGCGGATGCAAATTAGCAGTTTTGCTATAATCCGGCATGTTTACAGAGATGTTTTAATATCAATGTTCATTAATGTGCACTGTCCCTATCCAAAAATAAAGCATTATTATTATTAAGTAACTATTCCTCTTAGTTATTTAAAATTTCTTGTGATCAAATGGTATGATTTCGATCATGTTTACTGGACTACACCAGTGTGTTTACTCACAAATGTGGGTCACAATGACTCCACTTCATCATTGATCAAAACACAAATCCACAGATGATAAATAAATAAGATGCATATATGGAGCAAATCATGCTACGTGTTATGAATTAGAATCAGCATTATTGATTTACTGTGTGTGTAAACATACAGGGAAATTTTACCCTGGCTGAGTTATATACTCGCAAGACCAAAAACAAATTACAGGAAGGAAAAGTAGTTTTGAGACCTCAAACATCAAATGTACTGTTAAAAAAAATGTCACACTTGAAATTAACTGTAATGAACTGCAGGAAGTGGAACCATTTCCTTGTATTAATGAACAGTATTTGTTTTTAAAAAAAAGATGCGTTCATATTCATTTTTTCTTGACTTGAGCATAGAGAGCCTCTGGGTTGTCAGCAGTCTGTGTTAAGTGGTTTGCTGTCTTGGACACTTTGACCTGTGCATACAGTGTATCCTGCTGCAGTGCATTGTCCTGTACTGAGGCAGAGGACGGTTCAGGTCTCCACTTAGAGAAGTCAATTTCTCCGTAATGGATGTCTTCTTTTTCTGTTGCTCTGGCTGGTTTTTGAACAGTTGGCTCTTCAGTTTTTAGGCTCTGTGAAAAACGGACCAAAAGAGAAATGTTGAACCTTCATCTACTTCCATCCTCTCACTTAGCTCCCACTGCTATAACAAAGCGACATCACAATATTCTGCTTTTCTTGGGTACGATAATGTAAAATCTAGGTGTTGTGCCAAAAAATACTTGAAAAATAATGTGAAAGTGTATTCGTTAGTGGATTGTTAGTGTGGGTTGTTAACAGGATGTTTCATCACTTTTCCTGTAGGCTATTTCTCTCTTTTTACTCACTGAAGAGGAACATCTACGTCTTATGAGTGCAGTCACTATGAATCGCTAGAAACGTATTTATGACAGACAGTTCTATACTTTACATTTAAGTATTATCTCACCTGTGTCCGTTGTGAACTTGTGTGTTTTGATTTTAACCAGCTGGAAAACATAAGAGGGCACTCAGCTTAATTGTTTGTGTAATAACAACAACAACAATAATAATTACAATAATAACATTAAGCCTTTATGTATTTAACAAGTTTCAATACATCAGTTACAAAAACGCTTTAAATACAATTTAAAAATCATCAATGAAATACATTTGAAGACAGGATCTAAGGTTTCTTACACTAAATTGTCAATATTAGTTTGTGAAATATCTTGTGACTTCCAATCACTGACTCAGACACCCATTTATCTCATTGAAGTAAAGTTATGTGTTATTGAGAGACTCAAGATAAAATAATGATGTCATCTACATAAAACTGCATATCTGTGTTCTGTGTATGCTGTGAAATTGTGGCCGCACACGGACACAACAGTAACGACCCAAGTATTGAACCTTGAGGAACTCCACAAATGCACATGTGACGTTAAATTCTGAGTAACTGCAAACAGGTATATTGAAGAAATGTAATTAAAACTGCCTGACCCTGAGTTTTCACCCTTTTTCTAAGACAGTCAGTCAAAATAGAATAATCAGCAGTATCAAATGCAGATCAGAGCTGTAAAAGAACTAATACCAAGTGTCATTAAGATAATCACACATTAAAAATAATACAATTGCTTTGGATCAATAGATCGGGATATGAAATTAAATTTAGATACTTACCAAATGGCAACAACCACACAGATGAGTACAATGACCCCAATGATCCCTCCAACAACTGCCTCCAATGGTGAAGAGCTACCAGGCTGTTTTGCTCCTACAGAAACAAAAACATAAAAAAGTGACTAAGTCAAGTTAAGAATTATGGCTGTCACCCAGTTTTCATGTAATAAAGCTTTATAATAAAACTAAATTAATTGTGAAAAATCTTTTGTTTAACTTTTCCTCCTTTTTTGGGTTGCTGAAATGTTCCTTTCCGCTTGTTTTCCATTATCAGCCTCTTCATTTCTACTTTCCCATATTGTCAAGTCTCCTCTCATTCACAAAACTCTGTTTTCATGTCCTATCAACAACACTTTTCTTTGTAAAAAGTTTATATTGACTTTATACGTTGTATCAACCTAATTTTTTAGATTATCTTTTCTTATTTCACTAGAAGATACAGTACAATTTGTTTAACTTTATTTGTCAGAAGAATCCATGATGAAAACAATAAAAGCTCTCCGCCCACCAAGTTTATCTGTCTCTGATCTCACAAAAGAGTAACAAAGTAATCAGATTCAGTTCTACATTTACCTGCACTGTACAAATGAATCAGTGATGACGACTGAGTACCAAAATCATTCATTGCCACACAGTAATAATCTCCTCCATCTGTCACATTGAAGCTGTAAAACGGTCCTTCAGATACAATCATGGGTCCATCTTTGCTGTTCTTGAACCAGGTGAAGCGGCTGACGGGAGGCTTGGCTCTGCTGGAGCAGGTCAGGTTCACCCAGCTACCTGCTGACACCAAACCTGATGGACTGACGGACACTGAGGTGTCTTTAGGAGCATCTGAGAAAATGTGAAATTAACTTTATTCATTAAAAATCAGCTGTTATCCCATGAATCATCATGTGCTGACAGGATCCAATAACAAACTCTGGTTGTCTTACATGATACACTGAGAGTCTTTCTCTCCTCTGCTGTCTTGTTATCTTTTCCTTCATTCACAGGATATCTGACAGAACAGGTGATGTTGTATCCATCATGTTGGTCTGACAGAGTGAAGCTCTCCTGGATTTTAGTTGTGAAGGTTCCATCTGTGTTTTCCTCTATTTGGTTGTGAGAGTCTTGTTGGAGATTCCAGGTGAGTTTAGGAGGGGAGTGTGGACAGGGAGTGAAAGCTGAGCAGGTTATAGTGACAGACTGCTTCTCCTTCAGATCACCTGAGATCTCAATTCTGGGGCTCGAAGGAGAATCTGTGGTTTAATCAAACACATTTTACACTAAAGAATACAGTACATTGTAGGTTGTACCATTGAGCCTTTTATTGTAAAACTGAGTTCAGGACTTAAACTGAGTTTAAATCAGCTTCATGTGGAAAAAAATATTATATCATATATATATTTATGTATGTATGTATAAATATCATCATGATATGTCAAAATTGGTTGGATGTTTATAAGTAGGTAGATTTGGTCCTCCACTGATAATAAAAGTGAAAGAGTAACAGATGAGACTTACTTATTTCCAAGCCAGTTGAAAATGCATGCTTTTAATAGCAATACACTAAAATACATGTTATACAATATGTTAGATGGTTTCTGTAACATTTGGCCAAAACTGATACTGATCTTCCTACAGTAGATATTTGGTTTCACAATGAAGGTTAGAGTCATGGTGCTTGACGTTCAAGCCAAAGCTGCAACAATAACACTGAAAACTGACTAAAACAAAACTCTCTTACCTTTAACTGTTATTTGAAGAGGATCACAAGAAGCTGTTGCTCTGAAAGGCCAGTTCATGATTCTGAAGTAGTATTTGTCTGTATAACTTGTGATTAAACTGGAAAACAGAGTGGTGCAGTTTTTCTGACTCAGGTTTCCAATAATACTCATTGGATACGTGTTAACTGTCTTACTACTGTTGAAAATCACATTGTTTGGATTATTGCCAAATTGAGGGGCATTTTTAATCCACACTCCAACGGTTTCTCTGCTGCTTTTAAAATCTTGTTCTGATTCAGCACTGAAGTTACATGGGATTTGCAAACAAGATCCACTCAGTGCTTCCATCTTCTTTGGTGCAGTAATGAAGAGGCCGGCTGGATTAGGACAATCAGCCAAAGCACCTGTAAAATCAGACTCTTGATTTACACATATTGGGAAAAACTCTGCATGAAGAGAAGGTTCATGATAAACAAACTACAATTCAGCAGAAGCATGTTAACTTCTTTTCCTGTTAACAATTTCTATATAAAACATTTCACTTTGCAGTCAGGACATGAACAGTTGGAAAAAGTAACTCTATCTGCACTGGTCTTTCTGCTTTGTTTCTAAATGAAATCCAAACTGTAAATAATTAACGTCTCCAAATAAAAGTGACTGAACAAACAGCTCACCTGAAAGAAAGAAGACACTCAGTAACATGTTGGCTGTCACCATATTCACAGACAGCGTGTTCCCTGGATTTGTAAACACAATAAAACTGTTACTTTTCAATTGCATTAATCATGTCACTTTTTATGTTTTTACAAAGAATTCAACTTCCCTATTTCAAATTCCAACAGGAAACCTGCCCTGTACAACCAGAGTTCACAGTTTTTTTCATAATGATAAACAATAACTGCGCTTTAGAATAAAGAAAGAGCATTAAAAGAGAAAGAATACAACAAAACATTGAATTCATGTTCTCTTCCAATAAAGTAAAACTAAAACACCAATAAATAATATCTGAATAAGTAGAATAATCAAAGTTTTAGTTTAAGAAGCAAAGAAATAAAACCAGTAAAAGTTTCCTTACCAAACGAGTCCACAGATAGAAGATAAGAAAAATGGAAGTGTTGTGACTTTCTAGTACGAAGCAATTTCTCACTTTTAGTAGCAAAGACTATCTAACCTAGCAGCTATAATGGAGAGAAAAGTAGTTTACAGGCAGAGGTTTTTCCCTACTGCTCATTTCCTGTGAAGGAAGTCAGATATTTCAACATCTTAAAATCTTTTGGGTTCAACATGACTCATTGCGTAGCCCTGGCTAAAATACTTTTCGACTTCAAGATGTGGATAATTCATGTAGTCACCAGAAAGTCAATTGTTTAAAAAGAGAGATTTAACATGTATAAATATGGTTAAAAACATGGATATAAATATTGTTTCAAATGTAAATGGAAGGTTAAAATGTTTAAATATACAATAAGATCTATATTATTATATAAATATAATTACAGTTCATAAGTCAAAGGATGGAGTTCATGTAAATATGTAAATTAGCATAGTTTGTTTTATATGTATTTGTATTACGCATTTGTATTCAGCCTTACAGCCTAACTTGGTTTATGCCTGATATGTCAATCTTTGTTTTTCTTTATTGTAGTATGACTGTTCTGGATTAAACAGCCAACCGAATTACCTTCTCAGGTAGAGGGTCGGGGCTTAGTCATAACCTGCTAGCTCCGGTGTTTGTGGACAGAAACAGATTATCACCGTCGAGTGAACTGTGAATATTGTACGAGAGCAATAATGTTCATAACGTTGTGGTTGACGACCAGTTGCCCTAAGGGTTTGAACTTTTGCGATCAACAAGAGCTAAATATGAGTTGGTGAACCTTTTCCTGTACTGTGACTTAATGTTATAGTGTAAAAAACGACTTGTGTTGCTAATTGCGATTAGCGAAGTGTCATTAGCTTTGCCATGAAACAGCAAATGGACTTGATTTATCTGATTCAGGAGACGGACATTTGTGACTGTAAGTGAGGATTGGGAAAGCTCTTCTGGACCACTGGGGAGACTGTTTCCCCCCTGCTGTGCACTGTTGCTGCTGTTTCTTCTTTGCTCTCCCTTTGACCATTCCCGGGTTCCGTGAGTGCTGATAGCTTTTAGGCCTCCACGCTCCCACGCCACGACTCACGCCTGCGACTGTTTGGTTTACATTTTGGGTTTATGTTGCAATGTGAGTGTATGTGTGTGAGAGTGTGGGCCCACAGTAAAATGTTGATGTTCACATGTTAAAGATGCTATGCACTGAAAATATTAGAGCCTTATTGAAGATGAAAAGAAAAGAGTCTTTAAGGTATTAGGAGAATACTATTTTGTGTTTATTAATATCGGGTATTATTTGTGTTTACAATTTTTTATGATTTACCTGAAGTATTATTATTTTGTGTATTAATAAATGACTAAATGTTGTCATATCGCTGTTGCATATCGCATTTAAAGCATATGTGTTGTGTTGTAGAATATCCTAAATAATACATATTTTGGGTGAATGCTTTTTGAGTTAATACAGGTTATTTGGTATTTTGGTTGAGTAAAAGGGAAATAAGGTCATAAGAGTTATATTATTTTGTAGGTACAGGTAATAGATTACTTAAAATTTAAACCATACCCAGGGCCCAGGCCATAGTACTATTACATGCAGCAGATAAATATAATCTACATAGCCACATGGGACGGGTGTTACAAATGCAAGCCTTTATACGTAAACATACATTTTAAATAATTGGCAATAACAATGACACTTTTGAACAATTGAAAGTATTAACTTTATACAGTTACCACAGAGTGTTTGCTGAAATCTGCGCTTTAAACGTTTATATTTATACATTACATTTGAATTACATCAGCAGTGATCTACAGTTACACAGAGACAGTACACCAATGTATATGCTAACACAAATGATAGAAAAAGTGATAAAAATGTTTTCTTCTGATGCTTGAAAAGCTGCATTTTTATTTTATTTAACACACATCACATACATCCAATGAAAATCAATGACATGATCTAAGCATATTTTAATTCAAACAAACAATGGCTCATTCTAAGGTAACGAAACGAAAGCACATTGACTTATTTTCAGGTGATTGTACACTAATGAAAACATGAATATTATATTCCATTTCTGACAATAGATCCTCCTAAATGTTACGCACTGGAGCTTTATGAACAAAAGAAACAGGTGCCATAAATCAGTTCAACATAAGGTAAATTATTAAAGATGTTTTACTTCTGAGTTATACTCACTTTAACTAAGAAACACAGAAGAAAAAGTAACATTAGTATTTACAGGCCTGGAGAAAACTAACAAGTAGAAACTTCAGACTGAGAGATGAATACAGAAGAGAAGATGCAGCATGTCGTTCCTGTTATACACCACATCTTCCTCCTTTCCTTGTGACTCATGTTGACAACTCAGTCACTGTGTTGGCATAGTGTGACTGTACTGCATCCTGTGGAGGCTAAAAACAGGAGAGAGTTTTAGTCACGTTAAAGCTCCAAATGACTATTACAAAATAGGTGTAACATGTCATTTGTGTATCTCACACACACAGAAGAAACAGGCTTGGACTGTCCCGATTTGGCCAAAAATAAATGACTGGTCAAAGGTTTAAAGCTGATTTGCAGTAAAGGTGCGGTCAGTCATTGTGAAGAACGATAGTTGATTGTTGAGTCTCATTCCTAGGTCATCAATTACAGACGCTTTGGCTGCCAAAATTACCGACCCCACATTTAAATGCTTTAGAATATAGTTTTATCCATGTTCGATATTCTGTAATCAGCAATCTGTGTTTTTATGATTGAATAAATTGAACCACTTGATGAAGATGTTAGCAAGAAATTGCCCATTTAAACATCCATCCATTAGTGTTCATTGGAGTTATGTTTCAGGTCACCTGGCTTATAGCCAATAGTCACTGAATCTTTAGCTGCTAAATGGTTCAGTGGTTGTTTACATCAGCAGTCAGCAAATGTCAAGTGTCATGATTTCAGTAATAAATATGCTACTACAATAAGCTCTGAATAGTCAAGAAAAAGTGAGATTCGCTGATATACCTCTCCTAGCAGCTTACCTTCACTGGTTTGGTGGAGTGTCTTAATCTAAACCAGCTGGAAGAGAAAGATGATAGAAGTAAGTTTTTAAGTTGTTACATTTAAAATTAGACCCATCTTGCAAATAATCATATGGAAAAGTTTGACTCACCACTCAAAGATGACCAATGCACTGATGAGCATTATGATTCCCACGGTCTTCAGTATAACATGGACGCCAACCAGTTCAAACTGTTGATCACCTGTAACACAACAGCATGGTCACCTTCTGAAATGGTATTGCTCTAAAACATCACAACCCATAATTCCTGCATTTACCTTCAAATATCAGCTGACGACCTGTCGATAGTTGAATGTCCAGATCATTTCTGCATCCACAGTAAAACAATCTGCCTCGATCACTGTTGGTCACTTTAAAGCCATAAACCTGTGTATCAACTCTGATCAGTTCCAGTCTGCCATCACTGACCATGAACCAGACAAAGTGGACAACAGGCGGGTTTCCTCTGCAGGAGCAAGTCAGGTTCACAACGCTGCCAACTGACACTGGATCAGTGGGACTGATGACCACTGAAGTGTCTCTGGGAGAGTCTGAAAAGATTTGGCATATGGAGAGATTTTGAAGTGATAACATAATATTTGTACAGTAGGAGAAAGAACATGTCACAGTAAAAAGGGATCCTTTGTGGTGATCAATAACCATTACGTGTAAACCACAATGCTCTCAAACAATTAGTCATTTTTAAAAATGTTTTCTCTGCAACTGCAGTATTAACATCATACAATTGCACTAATAATGCAACACTCTATTTATCTTCATAGGAGGTCCTTTTCAGCTCTCCTCATGGAAGGTCAGAGGTTAGGCTCTGCCATAAGGTTTAAGTATCACGCTCAAGAACTCCTTGGTAAGGCCATTTCTTTTATGGAAGTATGAGAACTTCATTTGTCTTTCCAATTGCTATGATCTTAATAAAATAAAATGAAATGAGGTCTTACATGAAACACTGAGAGTCTTTCTCTCCTCTGCTGTCTTGACATCTTTTCCTTCATTCACAGGATATCTGACAGAACAGGTGATGTTGTATCCATCATGTTGGTCTGACAGAGTGACGCTCTCCTGGATTTTAGTTGTGAAGGTTCCATCTGTGTTTTCCTCTATTTGGTTGTGAGAGTCTTGTTGGAGATTCCAGGTGAGTTTAGGAGGGGAGTGTGGACAGGGAGTGAAAGCTGAGCAGGTTATAGTGACAGACTGCTTCTCCTTCAGATCACCTGAGATCTCAATTCTGGGGCTCGAAGGAGAATCTGTGGTTTAAATCAAACACACATTTTACACATAATAAACATATATACATATTATGGCATGCCGTTTAGGAAATTAATCTTTGAATATATTGAATGAAACTTTGAATATACTGAATGAACCTTGAATATATGATATATATTGTCTTGTATTGTATATATGTATATACATATATACAATACAATACAATACACACAGATTTCCAGAATTTGGTAACAATATTTGTATGTTTCATTAAAGCCCCTGAAAACTTAATATCACATGAAATGCAAAGATAGATAGTTTGTTTTTCTTTTTGAAGTGGGGTTGTATGAGGTAGCCTACTTATCCACAGTCAGTGTATTACCAACAGTAGATCGCAGTCGGATTGTCCCCAGTTTGGAGATGCAAGCAGGAGTACCAGCACGGAAGCTAAGCAATGCACTGCTGTGGATGGGGGCAGCATTTAGACACCAAATAAAAAGCCCACCTTAAAAAATGTGTATAAGTTTAAACCTGCTACTTTTTTCGCCCCCTCTGGCAGTGAGAGTACTTACACACGCAAAACACAGGTGTATCACAGTCAGTGATCGATACAAAACCCACAGTTCAACTAACAATGAATAAGACCATATCTCATTAAAAAACAGGAAGTCTCACTTTCTACAATATGGGACCTTTAAACTGATACATGCTTTGTTTTTAGGTGAGCAAAAATCTGTTTTGTTGTTGCCCTTGTCAACAGCAGTGCATTGCCTAGATTCCATGCCGGTCTGTCTGCTTCTCCGAACTGAGGGCATGTTGACTGCCATCTACTGTAGGGGGAACACTGACTATGGGTAACCCCCCATTCAAAACAAGTAAAAAAGCTTAAAGCTGCCAAAGTACAGCCTGACAGAACTGCTAGCATGGCTTATTATTCCTAAAAAACAACTAAAAAACATTAAAGACTCTCTTACCTTTAACTGTTATTTGAAGAGGATCACAATCAGCTGTTGCTCTGAAAGGCCAGTTCATGATTCTGAAGTAGTATTTGTCTGTATAACTTGTGATTAAACTGGAAAACAGAGTGGTGCAGTTTTTCTGACTCAGGTTTCCAGTAATATTCATTGGATACATGTTAACTGTCTTACTACTGTTGAAAATCACATTGTTTGGATAGAGGCCAAATTGAGGGTCACTTTTAATCCACACTCCAAAGGTTTCTCTGCTGCTGTCAAACTGTTGTTCTGATCTAACTCTAAAGTTACATGAGATTTGCAAACAAGATCCACTCAGTGCTTCCATCTTCTTTGGTGCAGTGATGAAGAGGCTGGCTGGATTAGGACAATCAGCCAAAGCACCTGTAAAAATGTGTGAAATAAAATATATATTATAATTATATATATATATAAGTATATAATCAAGAAAAAGCCTGAATATACTGCAGCAGTAATAATTAGCGTTATAATCTTTTGTAACTGTACAGTTTTCTAATGGTGGTTAATTTTTTGTTGGTTTACAACAAGTAGATAACAACTTAACCCCTAAATCCCCCACGAGACCCATTTATACCCACTAAAAGATCTCCATAATTACATCAGTATTGTCACAGTTACACAAGAACTCAGGCACAAAACACAGATTATACTGAACATCAGCTCACCTGAAAGAAAGAAGACACTCAGTAACATGTTGGCTGTCACCATGTTCACAGACAGGACTGCAATCACACTCATCACCTGGATTTACAAACACAACAGTGCAGTTACTTATCAGTAGTCTTAGTTGTGTCAGTTTTGCAAAATTTGCTAAGCATGATTGGTCTCATAAAGCAACTTCCCCACTTTAAACGCACACATGTACATGTCCTGTAATACTTCACTGTGATTAACATCTGCAGAGATACATTTTGACATGTTAAATAAATGAAACCTGAAAGATTTTATATTTCATAATGTAACTGTGGCTCAAAATAATTTGAAATAAAATCTGTAGAAACAGTAAGAAGCCTTACCAAACAAGCCCACAGCCAAAAGGGGAAACAATGAAGTAAGTCAGGACTTTTAGTTAATGTCAGGAAATGTATGCAGCAGGCTAACATAATTACAACCCTGGTGATATGAAATGTACACCAACACATAGAAACAAGGAAGACCAAAACAAAATACAACTTCAGTGACCTCTTCTTTTTCTCTCTCAGGGTCATATTGCTTTAACTCAATCACTCTACTGAATTCTGTGGAACAGGAACAAACACATTTCTAAATAAAGGCACAAAATGACTTTTTATAACTACCAGATCTACTGTACCAGCAGTTGACTGATCAAAAGGTCACACACAGGCCCAAACAAGTAAAGGCAATAGCTCTTTTTGCTGGGATTTTATTCTTTTAGAGGCTTAGTTTACAAAATAAAAGCTTTCAGCTGTTGCTCAGCAGTGTTTTTTTTTGTTTTTTTTTACAGCTGATGGTATCGCTACTTGTTTCCTGCCCCTGTAACACAGAAGGGTTATGAAATCAACCTTGTTACAACAGATTAATGGATGATGGACAAAGACAAACTATGTGCTAATAGTTTAGGTAAAACAATGATACAAGTTATTACCTGATTTCTATAAACGACTTAAAACTCATCTTGGTGTCATCCACAGATGATTGAAAACACATTTCTCTTTATTGTGATTTAATAGTCACTGTGCTACAATAATATTACTGCAAAATGTGTACAAGAGAGGCCATGGCCAGTCAGTAAACCGGCTGGGAATAAAGGAGATGGAACTTCAGGGGTCCTTTTGTTTATGCGGTGATAATAAAGATCGGTTTCATGCAATCAAATTTTAAAATGTCAAAAAGGTACAAATTAGTCAGTATCTGAAAATTAGCACATGATGGAAGTTTTTCACTGCTCTAAGTATTGAAAAATCCCGTGGTCAGGGTCATTGCAAAACAAACGTGTTATCATTGCTCAGTTTTACCACGTGACTTCTACTTCCTCACTCATCACTGGCTTTATCATTAAGAGCAGTGCAATCACAGGGAAATTAGAAATGACTATTTTAGATAAGAAGCTTAGGATTTAGTGGCATCTCGCAGGGAAGTTTCTGCTGGAGTGTTTTTTCTTAACGGCTTAGGAATGTGAATGAGACGCGAAAAGAGAGACTACTGTGGGTGCAAGACACGCAAAAAACACAAAAGACTAAGACGCAATGTTTGGTTTGCCCTTTCTGTTCAACGTGGCAGTATCCATGGTAGACGCTGGTAGATAAAAACAACTTGAAAACACAGCGATTTCTATATTCAGGTAAAAACACACCAATGAATATTATATTTCATTTCTGCTGATGGAGCTTCCTAAATGTTACACACTGGACCTTTAAACAAATGTGCACTTTAATTCCAAACAAAAAAAAAAGTCCTTTTGAGAAACACAGTATAGTCTTTATAGTAATGTCTGCCATATAAAAGGAAATGTTTTCTGATGTTAAGTGGAAAGAAAACATGCTGTGGACTATGTTCTCTCTATAAACGCAGGCTGTCCATATTATGATGACATCAAATGAGTACATGAAAAGGCGAATGACAAATTTCTCTACAAAAAGACTTTTATTCAAAAACAAAAACAACGGTTTTGCATCAGCAAAACTATGTTTGGTCATGTACACACACAGTTACTCAGCTGAGCTAATCCTCACCCTCGTACTGTGTTACAGCTTCCTCCTGCCTCACCTGGAGTTTTTTAATACTCTATTCAGTAATTGTTATACATTACAATATTTACTTCCCAAATGAATCAAAGGAGCTCTATGTTCATTCTATTTTCCCTTCCTAAATTTGCCCGGCGTGGCTCCAGTCTTCTGCTTCTTTTTTGCTGATCCTTTAATCTCAGGTTCCTAAATAAAGGTGAAATAAATAGAACAAATGAGTCCAACATTAAAAACATAACTGAACATATACAACAGAAACTTACAGTTAGAAAAGAAAACAGGGATAGTAAAAACCCATAATATAGATTAGAATTACAATAAAACAGTCAGCAAGACTAGACAAAGATTAAGACCAGGGCTACCACACGTAACACTGTAGGAGGTTAAATGATATTAAGATATTAAGAAATGAAGTACAATGTAGACCTTTTTCACAGCAGCCATTTTGACATGTACTAGTAAGATAAACACGGGTGTTACCAATGATACTAATTAAGGTTCTGTTACAGTCAGGTCAGAGTCATGGTGCTGCTATTTTGCATGTTGGCTCACTGGAGAGGCTCTGCTACACTAAATGGAACGAAACCTTAATTAGTGCATTGGTAACACCTGTAACAAAATGGCTGCTGTGTAAAAGGTCTATTCGAATCATTTTGGAAACACACTGTACCTTCCGTTTGGAGGACAGAGATCCAGTGATAGTGAAGAAAGAGTCCAGTCGTCCCTGTGTGCTGCCCTGTCGGCTCTTCATAATCTTCTTACAGCCGTTACGCATCCTGTCCTCGCTGCACATAGAGACGCACATTGATCAATGAATGAATAAAAGTTACATGTTATCCTATGCAGTGTGTCTATTTCCAGATGAATTTTCCGTCAAGTTGTCTCAATAAAAACAAACAGCACTTAGGTAACAAAAAGGTAACAAACCAACTGTTTTTAACAAGTGACTAAAGTAGATCTTAAAGTAAAGTCATGTATGACTGGTGAGCAAAAACATTCAATATAAAGAGGTGCACTACACCTCATATATGTAAAAAGGTTGTGTGCTAAATAAATGTTAGAACCATAAACTCCACATCTACATGGGCAGCAGTGCAGACTAGTGGTCAGATGATGTATAACCAGCTGGAATAACTGCAACAACCAGTGTTATGAACCCCATCATCCACCATTAGTGCAAATAAACTCAATAAGCAAGCAAAGAAGATGACCCCGACATGCAGCACAGTGCTGGAGAGAGTCTGCTGATGGTTCACCTGAATTGTTTCTCGTTACACATGAACTGGATCAGTGCATCCTCATCCGGCTCACTCCACTTCAACTCCACTGTGGAACAATCCACCACTTCTGGCTTCAGAAACAACCTCCTGGCCTCTTTGTACAGCCAGTCCTCTGGGGAAGGGTGCTTCTGTATGAAGGCAAGCCAGACACACACAAATAATCAGAACCAAACTCCCTTTGTTTAACTGCCTGTACTTTTGAATTGTAGCAGAAATCAACTTACGTTGGGGTCAATGTTTTCTAGGATCTCCTCAATGCAGCCATGCTGTCTGATCAGGTCGATGGCTCTCTTGGGGCCAATCCCCTTGATGGTGGCACAGTAGTCACAGCCCAGCAGAATACACAGGTCTATGAACTAGCATGGACAACAAAAAGAAGGAGTTAATAGACTGAAATATCACTCACACACTGCACCTGGTCCAACTGTGTTTACAATTCTACAATACATAGTTACATGGAGAGTTTTGTGACACTTCTGTGAAGAATTTGCACGGCATTTGGTTTGCAGAGTGCACAAGAGGCATGATAAAAGGCAGAGGATGTGGTTTTTGAATTTTATCAGATGGAAAATAGCACTCTTGATCAAATAATGTGCAACACCTTTCTCAAAGTCAGAAAACATTTTTACCTGTTCGTTGGTCAGGCCGATGTCCTGCAGCATGCGACTGAAGTGGAACTCTTGGATAGGAAGTTTCCTAAAACAAATAAAATCCTTGATGTATTATCAAGTGCATGGACCCCAGGAAGACTAGCTGATGTGGCTTTAGCTAATGGGGGATGGTGATAAACTAAACTAAACTAAACATAAGGAATAAATTGCCATTAATTTAATGACAATCCAATAACACTGCAAGAAAATAGAACACATGAACTGTGATAAGTAATGTGACTCCTCATTTCACCCCCATAATAATTATGGATAAGTAAATAAAATAGAATTTATTGCAGGTCAGATGTTATTATTATTAACTATAGAAATAAGATTAGTTTGCAGGTTACATCAAAAGTTGCGCTAGAAACAAAACAGGGACATACATCAAGTCAATAGCTGAACATCTCTACTACAGAGCCTAACAGTTGAAATCACTGATGCAGTAGCAATGAGATTCAGGTAGAACATTACTTTGCTTCACTGGCTGTGAGGTGTCTGAGTAGGACATTTGTCCCAAAGGTCAGCCCGTCCATATCCTCTGTTGCTGTGGCAAAGACCTTTCCTGCTTTAACCAGAGCAGCACAGGTGGCCTCTGCCTCACATGGAGCCTACAAAACAACACATCAGATTACATTTCACAGTATTATTCACCCACCTGTGCTGTTGAAATGGCTTTCTCTGACATGGTGAACAAACACTCTCAACTGCCTGGCATACAGGAGTAGAGCAGCAGGCATTTCACTGTACATTAACTTCAACTTTATTTCTCCAGATTTACTTAAGGGTGCAAGTTCCTGTGTCAAAGCACAAGAAATATCTACTTTTTATGCCTTTTTGCAAATTGTAATCTAAGGACATTCCATACCTTATGGAGCAATGTATGAACAATATTTGCTTTAAGTTTCACCATTACAGTTTCTGTCTTTTACTGCCTTTAAAGCCTATTCTAACAATAAACATACAGCTGTAGAAATAATGACAATAATGTAAGAAAGAGCACTTAAGATTCCTCAAAACTGTTACCAAAATCACTGTCAATATAAATGTGGACATATTCTTAAAGCCAGCGAGAGTTTTAGTAAAGAGAGAGTTGATCTAACCTCAATGTAAGGCACTCCCATCAGGGTCAGCAGCTTCTTGCAGTCATCGTTATGCTGCTTGGTGACTTTTACCAGACGCTTGCTGAATTTGTCAATATTCTCTTGTTCCCCTGGGTTGAAAAAAACACCACATTTTAATACAGAACAAAAGTAAAACATTTTTACAATCTCTACCATGGAAATACAGTTTATTATATCAAAAATATCCAGACTGATCACACTGGTTTACACCCCGGCTAATTTACCAAAAACACAAAGTGCGAAAAGCATTAACTGTACCCATTTCCTGGGCTTGAGCCAACAGCTTCTCAGCTTCTGCCCTCCTCTCCCCTCTCTTCTCAAGCTGGGGGTGAAGAGAAGAGCAAAGAGAAAGGTGAAAAAGATGATGTAATCCTTTAAAAGATGGTTGAGAGCAAATGTAAGTTAGGGAGGGAGAAAGGAAGAAAAGCACCAGAGGAAAGCCCATACTAACCTCTGCAGACTTGAGCTGTGGGGGTTTTCCATCAAACACATACACAGGTTTGATGCCGTGTTCCAGCATGCGGATTGTCCGGTAGAACATTCCCATCAGGTGGCTGACAAAAAAGAACAAGCAGGGACAAAAACATTAGTCTTGTGCCCAGACTTGAGCTACCTGGTCTAGGATCAATCCAAAAATATACTCTATCTCTAATGTGTCTCCTATTATGACTTCTCAGACTGAGCTTTAAGGTGAGGATGCAGTGTGGGGAGGTTGTACCTTGTCGTCTCACCATCCTCATTCTGCAGAACGTTCCCGTCCTGACGCACAGCGATCAGGAACTGGTAGATACACATGGAGGCATCTATAGCAATTTTCCTGCCTGCAGAAGTACAAGAAAGCAGTAGCAGGGGTTATCACAGTGGACACAGCTGGAGATCTATGTGTTACACTTATAATAAAATGATCGTATGACAGACTTAGTAAAGAGAAACCATCCGTGTGTAATACAAGGTAACACAAGAATAAAGTTTCACTCAATTTCAAACTATTACTACACCACTATGACAAACTTCTGGCTACCTACAGACCGTGAATCTGACATGGCTGTCATTTTTAGAAGTGATTATGGTCTGTTTTGTTTTTATATTTGTTCTATTCCCATCCCACCACCCCAAGGGAGACCTCATAATCAGTGTGTGGGGAAAGGGACCTGTAACAGTTACCAAAATAGTTCTTGATGTCTTGCTCTTTTATGGCACCAGGGGCATGGTCAGCAATCAGCTTAGCAAGTCCGTGTATTCCCATTGCGTTGTCTCAAACTGAAATCACCAAAGTCTGAAAAACAATGACATGAAGTTTATTACTTCCACACTGGCTACATGTTCTAGGGTCCCCAATTACTGGAGCAATCGCGTTTCACAACCGGGCTTTGTTTACCTTTTATTTACACTTGTGCTGCTTCGTCGGATGCAACACCGAATGAAAGTACAGTTACTGGTTGTAGTTTACACATAACGTAAGCTATGTTTGATCGGTGTGGGTTTACAGTGCAAGGCGGCCACATTAAATGTACACGGCTGCAGACGTGCAGCTAGCTAGCTGGGGGGCTAAAACATAAATAATGCCCCATTTATTCTGAATGCACAAGCTATTAGCGGGTAGCAACGAGTGGCTTCGCTACAATAAACATATTGAATTATGTTAACCCGTTTTATTGTTTATAATGGACTCACCAGGTGGCTGTTACCCTCGAGTTTGAGCACTTTTCCCGGCGCGAGGATTTGCGTTTCTTTCGCGGGAAATCAAATAACAGGCATCACCTATCGATCTATCGAGCACGGCGTGTCGAACTGGCGTCAACGACGTTGAAGACCTGCGCATCGACAGTGCGGGTGCGATTAAACGGGTCTGAGTTCTAACAAGGAAGTACTGTAAGGGCATTGCATTGGCTCGCTGAGGTTGAAGGAAATCCGGTCAATAGAGCAACATAACAGAGTCGGTCAGGTACGGGCACAAACGGTCCAAATGTTGGGTTTGGTGGCGTCAAAGCCCGACGATAAATCCCGTTCATTTCAGATGGCTTGAGAGGGGGATATATCACTGGCTACGAATAACCGGTAACGTCTCCGGTGTGTTGTTATTTCTCCGCCCACTCCGGAAAACTCAACCGAGTCGTCGTTATTTCTGTTTTTTAAGGTGACGTGGAGTCGGACCCCCTCTTCTACACTGGCTGTTGTGTCAATAAAAGTACTTGATGTACCCGGATATGACTGTGTAATGAATGCATAATAGGTCGGGACGTTGCATCGAGGATTTCTAAAGATGTTTAGCTGTAAATCTTTACATTGAGCTCCAGTATCGGCGCACACCGGAGCCGAGAGGAGGCTGTCGGGGCCTGGAGTCCGAGGAATCCGGCGGACAGACAGGTTTTGTTGGATCTGCAGCATCGGGACTGTGATATAACAGTGATACTGGTAAATCAGATTTTGCTAACTTCTCGTCTGTAGCCCATTGCTTTCCTCGAGTGTCGGGTCCCAAAATAAAATAAAAAAAATGCAGTGTAAATCTTTGGAATAACTGTTGATGTCCATGAAGTCATTATAGTCACTTTTATTTATACAGAATCTGCTAGATGCCTTGCTCTTTCTGTTGGTGCATTAACTTAAGGTAATAGTTAACTTACTAGATGTTAGTACAAAGATTTTATAATAAAACTATTGTTTTGTCTGTTGTTGTTTATCCAGCTGATAGAAGTATGTATAGGTATGTATAATCCTATGTTAAAAAAACTGCAGGTTTTTATTTGCTGGCACTGAAAAGTTGAGGAGGTCTAGACCTGCAGCTGTAATGCTACTGTGGAAAGGAGCATCACTGATAACAGATCAGCACCGCCATATAACTGTTCTATCAGCGGCTCTGGCCAGAAACCAGTAAATCCATATTTCAGTGGGTTTAAAAAAAACAAAAACATGCCCACTAATTATCAAGAGCATACATTATCCTTCAGTGGCAGTCACATTTAAAGTGAAATCTGTTGTCACCAGAGCATCCTGACTTTTCTTCAAGGTTAACGCTGAAAATCATCATGATGGTGCTCAACACATAATGGAACTTGTCATCAAATAGATTAAAAGTGCATTAGAACTGCAATATACACACAACTCATTTGACCAGTGTTGCTTCATCAGTGCTGACTATGAGTCAACGTTTTAAATTAGTTTGCCTCCTTGCTGCTATTACAGGGTAAACTGTAGCATCATACTCTGTTGTAGTATCATGAATTCACTTTCAAAATGTGGTGTGACTTCATAGTGGCACGCACATTTAGAGTGTAGCAGTGTACAACATATCTTTGCAATCCTATTTGTAGTAAGTAACGTCATACACATGAATTCTGGTAGAATAGCATCTGTGGGCAACCTTCACAAATTCATAACAGACATATAAAAAGTGGCCGAGCTCATGTAATTCCCACCAAAAAGCTCCGCTCCACTGATAAAAGTGATACATACATTGTGATTAATGGTGGTTACACAGTGTCTCACAGCTGTGTCTGAGTGTTTTTCAATTGTCTGTGTTTGTAAGACCGTTAAGGGAGTGATGTTGCATAAAATTCTCCAGTTATACCACTTGGTATAAATCATCAGATATCAGTTATCAGCTCATTTGGTGACTTGAAAAGAGAGACATTCTGTAAGTGTCAGGACAGATAGTCTAGTTTAAATCACACCTGTCCCTCGTGAACTGATGAACTGTACATCTTTGCGACAGGGGTTATGCAGTGTGGAATAGGACACCTGCCAGGTGGCTGCCAGAGGACGATGGGCCTGCACTGCGTCTTGATCCTGTGCTTGTTCTCAGGCTGGGCAGTGGGCTACAAGCAGGGGGACAACGTGACTCTCTATGTCAACAAAGTGGGCCCTTATCACAACCCCCAGGAGACGTATCACTACTACACCCTGCCTGTTTGCAGGCCCGAGAAGGTCAGTCTTTGTTCTGTTTCACTGTGTATTAATGTGATGCTGTACCTCTCAGAAGGGAACTGGAGATTATTTTGTCATGTTAATGTGAGGATAACAAGCCTCAATATTTTCTGTTCAGTTTTTCTTGCTCTGAAAATGTTGTCATATAAGATTATAAAAATGGATTGTCACAAATTCTCTGAACACATTTTAATGAATACAGATTGAAAAATTGGTGCTATTTTGTTATGAAAATGTTTTTGAAAATGAGTTTTGACCCTGTGTAAAACTTTAAATAAGATGCCCAGAGACACAAGTTAAGAACATAGACATTTTCATTTTCTGTGACTTATTAATCAGCCTATTTGCTGTTGAGAGTTTAAACCTGCCGACAGCTGAGTTTTGTCCCTTTGTTTAAGGTTTAATTCCTCAGTTATGGCTTTTAAGAGAAGTCAACACTGCAGGCATGCAGTTTTGATGTCTGACTGTAGTCGGCAGCATTTTTTTGGTTCCAGCTTTCCTGCTATAGCTAGCTCATAGCTATATGTGCTGCCTTGCTCACAGAATTATAACCAACTAAAGCTTTGCACTCTGTTACTCATATTGTAACACTTGTCCTTCAGGTGCATCACAAGTCCCTCAGCCTGGGAGAAGTGCTGGATGGTGACAGGATGGCAGAGTCGTTGTATCACATCCGTTTCAGAGAGAACGTGGAGAAAAAAACTCTTTGCCAGCTGATTCTTTCGGAGAAACAGGTATTTATTTACACAAGAACAGGATAGGATGAACTTACTATGTTGTATACGACTACCCATCTTAGGTTAAGTTTCAATACTCACATTTCCTACTGTTTCCTAGTAAATGGTTCTCTTTAATATGCCAGTCTATTGTAATGTAGTTTCAAAAAAAAAAAAACCTTGGTATGATATAATACAAAAGTAAAATTTCCCTCTTGCTCAATAATAATAAAAATAATATGATAATAAAACTTTTCTTCTCATGTTCTTAAGGTGTGCTAACAGCACTTCATAACATGATATGTGTCAGTATCAGGATCTGATGCAGTCGAATGGATGCGCCCTGCTATGTCAATATGGATTCTAGAGAAAAGGGTGATATAGCAGAGCAAGCTCCTCACAGACGTTCTATTGAATTAGGGCCAGAATACAACACCAGGCTGAGTGATAAATACAACCTTCATTTTATGTTTTGTCACCAACAAGTTTGATTAGATAAACACTTCAAATAGACTCTGAACTACAAGCTGTTGTCCTTAAGAAACATAGGATGTGATCATGCATATGTGTTGTGTGTGTCAGGTGGATGAGCTTCGTGAGGCCATCGAGGAGCTGTTCTACTTTGAATTTGTCCTGGATGATATTCCAATCTGGGGGTTCGTGGGGTACATAGAGGAGAGCGGCTTCCTGCCTCACAGCCACAAGGTAAAACTATAGCTTGGGTTGTGTGAGGGAGACAAAGAGAAACACAGAAAGACTGTGTGAGTTTATTAAAAGTGTTATCAAAGTTCCTGTTTTAGCTCCACCACACTGTCATTCTTCTTATCGCTCACTTCCTCCTCCTCTCTTTCTTTTTTGTCTTTGTCTCTCTTCCTGCCCTCCTCCCTCACCTCCAACAGGTGGGTTTGTGGACTCACCTAGACTTCAACATCGAGTACAACGGCGACTCAGTGATCTTCGCCAATGTGTCAGTAAAAGACGTCAAACCTGTTCCCCTGGAGGATGGGGCGGGTGCAGCGGTGGGCGGAGTCGGGGTGGGTGGAGGCAGCCTGACGGTCACCCATACCTACAGCGTGCGCTGGTTTGAGTCCCCTCTTCCTCACGGCCGGAGAGCAGAGCGCCTCCGAGACTACTCCTTCTTCCCCAAAACACTTGAGATCCACTGGCTGTCGATCATCAACTCACTGGTGCTGGTGGTGCTGCTGCTGGGCTTCGTCATCATCATTCTCATGCGGGTTCTTAAGAATGATTTTGCCAGGTTAGTCAGTGAAGGAGCGTTTAAAAGTGCTTTATGGGCCAGAAAATGTGAAAGTTTTAATGTCTTTAATATGAAAGAAGGAAATCATCAACCAACAGAAAGTACATCTACAGCAATTTTGACAAATGTCACTTAAGCAAATATATTTCCAGCTTCTGAAATGTGCATTATGTTTGTATTACCTTACCTTACGCTACAAGGAGGCTGCCATGTTGAACAGCCACCGTAGTTTCTCGTTAGTGTTTGGAAAGGGGGGTGCACTATTTTCCTTTTTCACAAATCACCCTGGCCCAAACAAGCCTTAATTCTAATAGACCAACTTTCGTCTCCACTTAAGGTGAAACTTCTGAACCACCCCTGCTGGTCAGGTTCATGATAAGATCCCAGGTGAAAGCATTTTTCCCTCCCCTGCAGGTACAATGTGGAGGAGGAAGGCGGCTGTGATGATCTGGACCAGGGAGACAACGGCTGGAAGATCATACACACTGACGTCTTCAGGTTTCCCCCTTACAAAAGCCTGCTGTGCGCCGTGCTGGGAGTGGGGGCTCAGTTCCTTACCCTTGCCACAGGCGAGTGTTCAATCTCAAATATACCCAAACACAGCGACACACGGCAGAACATGGTCCGCTAAGTTATCATTGTTCAGCACTGACCAACAGTCTTTGTACTGAAAAGCAGAGTGACATAACTAGAAAACCTGATAATGGTAGGTCAGACCTGCAGTGGTCTAATCCCTCTAATGTCTCCTCACTGCTATAGGAATCATTTTCATGGCATTGCTGGGAATGTTCAACGTGCACCGCCATGGTGCCATCAACTCTGCAGCCATTGTCCTGTACGCTCTGACCAGCTGCGTGTCGGGCTACGTGTCGTGCAGCTTCTACACACAGATCAACGGCCAGCGCTGGGTGTGGAACATCATCCTCACCTCGTCGCTCTTCTCCGGTGAGTCCGATAAGGAGGGTCTGACATCAGTTCACGCTTTGGCCATAGGAAACAGAGTGCAGTTCAAAGAGCACATGTCCAGATCCTCGTGTCTTTAAGCAAGGTGGTACCTGTAAATTACAGAAATATGAGGTTTAACTTTCACATTTTAAAATGATTTTGTCGTTTGTCAATATAAAAACGAATGAGCCTCAATCGTCATTGCCTCCCTCTGCTACTTTTTACTTGCAGTGCTATTGTTGTTCACACTGACTTTTCCTTTGAGCTTTTATTTTAACATTTAGTCGAGAAACTGGAATGATTTCACCTAGGCCTTTTCATCATTAAAACACCGATATAACAGCTCCATTTTTAACAATACAACGATTTATTTCATTTGATCCTTCGTTCCCACAGCTCCTCTGTTCCTGACATGGAGCGTAGTGAACTCAATCCACTGGTGGAGCGGCTCCACTCAGGCTCTGCCGGCCACCACTGTGCTCCTCCTGCTGGGTGCCTGGGTGCTGGTGGGCTTCCCGCTCACCGTCATCGGTGGCATTGTGGGAAAGAACCGAGCCGGCAGCTTCCAGGCGCCCTGCCGTACTCGCAACATCGCCAGGCAGATCCCTACACAGCCCTGGTACAAACACACAGCGGTACACATGGCCATCGGCGGCTTCCTGCCATTCAGGTGAGATTTCATTAGCCTCAACGTGGGAGGTTGAAGAGCAACATTCTGAGGATTTCACTGCAAAATGAGAATTTTTGGTAGCAATTAAAGAGTTGATCCCACATTGAGATTTTATTTTTATGTCAAGAATGTATTTCTACACTTTTTTGGTTATTATTTTTTGGTTCTGTTATTTTCTCTTTGCATTTCTGTCTATTATTGAATGGTTTGAAAAAAATATAAAGTGATACTTTTGCATCATCTCGACTGATAAGTCAGCAGTCATAAGTACTATTCTAAAGATTTATGGAAAAAGTACTGAAACACCCTTTTGACTTTCATTTTCTACACACTCATTCCTCCGTTCTATGAATTGTCTCCCTCAGTGCCATCTCAGTGGAGCTGTATTACATCTTTGCCACCGTTTGGGGCAGAGAGCACTACACCCTGTATGGCATCCTGCTGTGCGTCTTCGCCATCCTCCTCTCAGTGGGCGCCTGTATCTCTGTGGCACTCACCTACTTCCTGCTGTCTGGCGAAGACTACCGATGGTGGTGGCGGAGCGTGCTCAGCACCGGCTCCACCGGCCTCTTTATCTTCGTCTACTCTGTTTTCTACTACCGGAACCGGTCCTCTATGAGCGGCCTGGTGCAGAGCACCGAGTTCTTTGGCTACTCTCTGCTCACAGCGATGGTCTTCTCACTGATGCTGGGCAGCGTGTCGTTCTGGGCTTCACTGGCATTTATTCGCTACATCTACCGTAGCCTTAAGATGGACTAGACATTAAAATGTGTATATGCAGACACACAGCTACAAACACACATTACCACATAGCACACATGGACAACCCTCATCCTCCTTTCAGTCATACACAGCACACACAAATACACACCTCCTATGGGGTCAATGGGAGGAGAAACAGGGGCCTTGATATGACAGGAGCTAGAGAATGAACTAGACCTGTCATTGTTGGAATAAGGGATAGTAGGCTGGATAAATGGACAGTTGAAGGTAGAGCTGGGGGGGTGTTATGTATTTAAGGATAAAATGGAATATTTCGGTACAAAGGGATGAGTGTGTACCATCAAGAGTAAATGGGTAAAATGTATGATACGTGTGTGAATGGATTTAATCATTATATGATGCAGTGTGGCATCATCTCATGTCATGGCAGGGTAGGATCTACACATTGTTTTCCCTGCATTACACTGGTCACCCAGTGAGACAGCTGATAGTTTTAGTTAATTGCAATTATACTCTTCCCCCACACATACAATTGTGGCAGCCTATTCAAAATATAATAAACATTGTTTTGCACTGGGCCTGTCGAGCTCCACATGGCCCTGCAGTGGATAAGAGGAACGATTGAAGAGCTCTTGCAAAACGTTGGTGATGGGAGCGATATTGTCATTGTATTCTATAGTCACCATTGACTGATTTTGGTTCTGATGTAAATATAGTCTTTTCAATAAAATGCTTTTAATACAATATTGCCAGTAAACCACTCTGGGCTGATTTTATATTATCTATATTTTTTCCTTTGGTTACTTTATATTAAAAAAAAAAAAAGTCTATGTACCACACAATTCTTTTCACTTTTGGCCACAGCTATATCAGTAATGCTCCCACAGATGTTTCCAATTACCTGCAAGTAGTCACATCACATGCAAGTGTATGTATTATTGCATGCTCAGTAAAAAACCAACAACAAAAGACTGAAACCAAGACATTATTTCAAGTTGCCAAAGTGAACCTGTATTTATAGAAAAAAAAAACTCATTGAAATGTGTGCACATTAGATCTGTATCAGCACTTTGTCTTAAAACAGTTCCAAAAAACAATGTAATCCAAAGAATGCATCCAACTTGGACACATCTAGTATCACCAAGCGCAAAGAACACACCAACATACATTAAATAGTTGCATATAAAAATAAAACTGAGATAAAAAGGTAAAATACTTTTGAACAGAAGTATGAACAAAGCATATGTACACCCAGCCTGACAAAAAGCACCCCAAGTTAATTACAAACTACAGTCAGGAAACTTGAATAGAAGAATATTAACATGGCTTTCGGGTCACATTTACAGAAACGCTTGTCAGCTCTAACAGACTACTGGCTGGCGTTATGTACTATGGCTGTGTTTAAAGAGCCGCGGCTGTTCACAGACTCCACATCTTTGCTTTCAAAGCTCATGTCGTGCCCAGTGTTATATGCAGAGGCAACGTTGGCTGAGTTGAATGCACCAGGGTTGTATTCATAATGGCTGATGCCTGGGGGCATGGACCAGCCAGCCGCCTGGGGCCTGGTGGGGACTGCGGTCTGGGGTGGACCAGAGGACCAGGAGGGATAGCCAGCAGATCCAGCAGCAGAGCCCATAGCAGCTAGGTAGAAGGCCAGGTTCTGTGGGGCTGTCTTCTTGAAGGCTGACTCCATCATGTGCTGGTTGTAATGCTCCTTGAGCTGGGGCCGGGCTTCTCCCTGATACTGAAAGAAACATGGTAGTTCAAGTTAGAATCAAATTTATATATTTAAAAAAAAAAACACACATAACTGTCTATATCACACCCCCAGCACATTGCTTGAGTGTTACGTCTCGCCTTTAAGGTCATAACCGGACTATGGTTAGACCTCCATTATGGACGTCTTATTCTATGTCCAGGCCACTGTTTCTCTGTTATCAGTTAACAGGAAAACTGAGCAGGACAATTCCTCTGGTCCCACTTTTACACCATTACCACGTTGAGCTCTTGGTATCATGGAAAATGTCTTCAGATCCTCTGACACTGAACTTATATACTGTAAATAATAGGAGCCACTTACAGGTGGGATATGCGAGGGAACATTTGTGAAGACTGTTCCACGAACTGGGCTGTCTTTGTTGGTGGTGTAGCGCTCAGACACCCAGCTCGTGTCTTTCTGGTGCCTCCTTAGCTTCATCCTTCGGTTCTGGAACCAGGTCTTGATCTTAAAACAAGATTAAGGAATTCCAATTGATTAGAAAGTGTACAGGAAATTCAATTTTGCAGCACACACATTCAACAACCCTCTTAAATCCCTCACCTGTTTGTAGGTCAGTCCTGTCATTTCCGCCAGGTTCTTCATTTCAGCTGGGGTTAGATACCTCTGCACACTAAAGCGCTGGACAAGAGCATTCATCTGACTCTCCGAGAAGGCTGCCCGGGCCTTTGCTTTGGGGTTATTTCCGGAAGTAGTGCTTGGTTTCTTTGGGGCAGTTAAGGGCACATGTACAGAGGTGGCGGTGTCATCGGTTCCCTCGTTCCCTGTGACTGTAAAGGGCATTGGCTCCTCCTTGAGAGAGCTGGGAACGTCCTCGCCTGCGTCAGGGCTTCTGCTGCTTGCCTCATCGTCGAGATCTTGCTTCGCCCAAGTGGCTGGGTCTGCCTGGGGGAGACTACCTTCTCTGCTGCTGCCAGAGCTCCATGAATCTAAGTGAGGGGAGGACACAAACAGTGAGCACTAGTATAGAGACTGGGACCTTTATATAGGGCTAGTATATTCCAATATGGATATACTGGGGGTCTGCCCCTAGTAGAATACACTACAATGCATTTTATTTCATGTTACCCCAAAGAACACTAGTCTTTTACATTAATGTAAATATTATGTAGCGATATTTCCGATATTCTCGCCTTCTGTCGCGAGATGTCGCTACTTGGCCCTTTTCCAGAAGCACTCAGTAAAAATCAGTGGCGGGAATGTTGGAGGCCCTTTTTAAACCAAGATGGAACTCAATTGGACTTCATGGTCGGTTCTGGAGGATGAAATCATAGCTTTTAACAGCCAACGGGGAGATGTAAGCACTGACACACATTGTATGTTAAGCTTTTTGCTGCGCCAGGTCAACTCACCTCCTCTGCAAACATTAGCTCTTTTAGAAAATGCTAACTGGGGGTCACAGGGACATACCAGGGGAGGTGTGCGCCTCGGAGTCGCTGGTTGAGTCGCTCCCGGCCCGCCCTGCCTCTTGTGTCCGTGCGTCGTAGGCAGCCCGGTGCTGTCCGGACAGCAGCAGACGGCCTGCCTGGGTGTCACCGAGGTAGACCACCCCGGAGCCCTGGTAGTGACAATGGCCGTTCGCGGCATGCTGCTCCGGACTGCCCGGCGGGGACTCCTCTCGGGCCCTGGCGGTGGTGGCGTAGTAAGCCTGTGTCACCCCGGAGTTGTAGTTGCTCAAATCCGTGACTCCGGTTTCACCCCAGCTGCTGAGGTTCCCGTGGTTTTGCTCGGGCCCGGGTTGGTACACGAGGCCGTAGGCGTAGGCATGATAAGAGGGGTTGTAATTGTAACTTATCTGCGACTTCCAGTCTGCCATTTCTGCGGCAGGTTTGATTAAAAAGTGTAAAAACAAACGCAACACAAGGGAAGCTCGAGTAGTGGTGGGAAATAGCTTTAAATCCAGCAAGCACTATATCAGAAGAGGCGACTAAAAGCAGGACCTGTCCAGTTAAAACAAGCGGGGGCCAATTAACGTACTAACATTGCGCGCAGCTTCCTAGAGGCTGTTTATAAAGTCGTGTGTGGGTGTGGGCAGGGATGTAGATTAAGTGGGTGTTTTGATTTGGACCAATTGATTCACCTTTCATGGAAGACAGTGATGCCCTTTCATTGGCTACCCAGGTTAATGCTTTGCTTTTAAATTTTATTTGACCGGTTTGGAGACAAAAACTATGTAAAGTTTGAAGAGTTGAAGTACCAACCATTTTTGATTAGTTCACTTCTTTAACACTATTACCAAGCTCTTGAACACATTATATGTACAAACACTGAATTTATTTTAGGTGGTGATGTCTCAATACCACAGATGAGTCTAAGTATAGTATAATGCAACCCCTGAACATGGACATACACTCAAACATATCAGCTTGCATGATAAATACCTTAATGTGGATCCTAATTACCTAATCTTGTGTTAAAAAGCATTTGGGTGTCAAAATCTAGGTTTAAGACCCTCATTAATTCAGCTGATATTGTTGTCAAGTCAAGGATATGTATTCATGGTTATACAACACAAGGTTGTATAATGAAATGAAAGTTTGTTGCATATTTCATATTAACTTGTGTTTAATTATCACAATATTCCAGCATAGTAGTATGGTACATAATCCAAAATGTGTCAATTTCCCCCACCCCACATAAAGTTAATCCAACATTGGCTTTTCCTAGTTTATCACAAGTTTGTTTGATATTTTAGATCTGTTGATATCCTGTTCTTACGAGGTCAGAAATCACAGTGGGTTTTGGTGAAAGAAATAAGTAGTAAAACACCAAGGAGACATCCTCATTAGATAAATTACTGAGCTATACAGATAAATTAAAATAAATAGTATACAGAACACATTCTAAACATTCTAGTTATGTAGTGAAAAACAAAACTGAGTGTTTGCTCAGTGTTTCATTCCTTTGTCCTATCGAATGTGAGGCTTTTGAGGCTCAGATGGTTACCATCGGTAGTGTTTCATGATTGTGTTTGTTTAAGGAGCACACCTTCAGCATCTTTTATATCCCCAATAAGGAAATGGATGTATTGGAACTCAGTGATAGTGCAGTTCAGGCAAACATCACATTTTTATGGAAAGGGTTTTTATATACCAAACACTTCAGACAGGTATTAAATACAGTTGTATTTTAACCTTAACATGCTGCCTTGTCAGCACATTAGCTTCAGTACTTTTTAATATTGGGCACAAGTTTGAGCTTTAGTTCCAGATCAGTAGACTAAATCTAGTATCTGGTACTCAAGCATGAATATTTCTTTAACCACTAATACTTCTTCGTCAGCGTTATTGTTAATGATTGAAAACTGCTAATTTAAATCTAATGCAGTGGACCCATTTACTGAGAGGCATTTGACAGAATGTTGTACTATGTAAGGACAAGTACAATTTGCCTCAAACATGATTAAAAATATATATAATTAACTGAGAGAGACTATAGCTTCAGATCCCAACATCCCCCAATCATGTACAGTGGGTTAGGACATGTTGACGCAACCTCCATACCTCTATTTGCAATCCTTTTCACAAAGATGAATTAGATTAGACTGCACGTTGCCATCCAAGAGGTTGTTTGTTTTCCCCCTCCTCAGCTGTATTGACGTGGTAATGAGTCAGTTAGTGATGAGACGATGGGAGAACAGTGAGCCTAATGGGCACATTAGCATTTCTACTGATCTCTGCCTGGACAGGGTGTGTTTGTCTGATCTTGTACGAGCCAAGACATACATGAAGGGATCGCTGGTGTTGGTGTGTGTAGGCGTGGGTGAACAGGTGTGCAGTGCATTAGCATTGGTATGTGCTGAGCGGGCTACAGATTGGCCTTTGATGACCATGCACACTGTACTGTAGTGTATTTGTAAGGCACTGCTACTGGGAAAAGGGCAGGGTAGCCATACATTAGAACATCAACATCATTGTAATCAATTATGGTTTGTTAGCATATATTGTGTTTTGCTCCGAGATAAACC